GTCAAACAGATTACCATAAGCAAACAAAAAACAAAGCTGGGAGGGGGAAGAGAGATGAGAACATGAGAGGATATGGAAGAGCATTCCTTGTTTACTTCATCCAAACCAAGAGCAGTAAGATAGAATGTAGTCCAGAGACAGGCACACAGCATGGTATACTGAAAGAAAATGCTTAACGTGCCATCCCAAAGGAAAAAGTGAGAAAGAAATATATTCAGTAACATCTTCATAAATGAGTTTAATAAATGTAATTAAAATGAATGTGATATAAAGTACAGACTACCCATGACACTTTCACTGGAACAGTACAATAGCTTTAATGAGTACTGTATTATGAATAATTGGGCTCAAAACAGGATCAGCAATGCAAAGAATCAGATATTTGGTTGTTGTTAATGGAAGGTGAGACTACAAGAAAACATGAACTGCTGTACTGTAAGATGTGTTCTGAAGGAAGACTCTGGAGAAAGAAGGACATCAATGAGGGTGTGAAGATGGAGACAATATGGCAGCACAAGGGCTGGTAAAGACGAAATAGACATAATCACGATACAGTACAAATGAAGAAAGAGGAGGGGAGATTTTAACAGTAAAGTCTGCTTCTCAGTTGCAATAATCTGAGACACCAATGACTCCACAGGGGGAAAAAAAGTGCCTGAAAAACTTATACTTTTTTTATTTTGTACTTCCTGCAAAGAAGTTAGTGCGTGAGTCACAAGAACCAATGGAGAGCCAAAATGTTATTATCTCTCCTCTTTGAGATTGGGGGCTCATATATAAATATACACACAGATATAGATATATATATACACACACACATAGACAGATGAATATATATATATGTATATATGTGTGTGTATATACAGAGAAAGATAGACAAAGATGTTATCTTCCTGGGTTCTTGGCAAGGAATTAGTCCTGAAGTTAGAAGGAGTGGAGGTAGGATTGAGGTTGGAAGGAAAGGTAACGAAGAGGGCATACCGCTTTCGGCTTCTGCGAACGACAAGAAGAAAATTTCAAATCAAAACACTTTGATAAGAAATCAACTGACACCAAAGCAAAAGCAAAAAAACCCTTTATCTTCAAGGCTTAAAGGTTTTTCTGCTGAGAATGAGAACAAATACATGGATAGACAAAGAAAATTTAACAAGAGGAGTGAACACGGGATGCAGGAGGGAAGAATCCCAGTTAGGCTTTCCTTCTTGCTTACTCATGTGGAAAAAGAAAAAAAAAATAAGGGAAAAAGGAAGGCAATAATATCTCTAAAAGGGACATCAGATGAGGAGTTTGAATGTCTGCATTTTGAACTCATATTTCTGCTATCTATTCAGCAAGCTCTGCTTGCTTCAGGTTGATGTTCTCCATGTTCTTTCAGCATATTTTCTACAGAAGTAAAACCTCTCTACCAATGAACTAACAAAGACCATTTTTTAAACTAAAGTATTTGGTTTGCATTAGGGACACAGAAACTTATTAAATAAGTTATTCCTGCTCTTAATAACTAATTATAATATTCTGAGATACTAATTAGAGATGAAGGAAAGGCTAACTCATATTGGGACCTGGAACTACTGAAGTGCAGACCTTAGCAGCTGGTCTGAAAACCAATAAATTCAGTCATGTTTTGTAAACTCAGAGGTTTCTTTGATAACAGAGCCGTAATTTTAAAATTATTAAATATATAAATGTAAAAGAAAAAAAAAATCTTATAATGGTCATTGTAATTAATCTTTAAGATAACCTGATAAGAATCAGTTGCCCCAAAAGAGACACATATAGATACTTTACCCACTATGTGAAAACAAGTTTGTATTTATCATATCTATTACTATATTACCTATAGTTAGGCTTGAAAACTTTAACATTCTGTTTCTAAGAAATCTTGTAAAACGATAAATTGTTTATAATCATGTAGTACTGCCATAATTTGTTATAAAGGTGTGCTTACTATTTTGTGCAACTTCATTAGAAGCCAGGAATAAAGGAGAATAAATCCCACTGCAAGGTCACCTACTGTTACCTTATACATTAATATTAGCTTGGAGAGAGTTCTGATCATTTATAATTACTATTCATCTCAAATTCCCTATGGTAGAGTTAACTGAATTTGGTAGTAATCAGAAAGCTCTAGAAAAATAGCATTTAGGAGACTGCCTGGGGAACAAAAGTGCATAAGTAAGTATTTATGTCATTCTACATGTAATGAAGACATTAACAAAGTCAATGGAAATTGTGCCATTGACTTAAAATGGTACTAAGATCTACCTCTTACACTGAGGTGAAAATTTAGAGAGGGGATTGGGAAAACTAGAATGCCCTCACATTATGACTTTTGAGAGCAGCACGCACTTCTGAATTAATTTCGTATTTCTTTAGCTCTGAGAGCAAAGTGATGAAGGCAGTTGAAACTAATCTTAACAGGAACTCCTGGTGTAAGTAAAAAATTAGTTATATAATTTACTTACATAGATATTCTATTGTGACTAGTAACTTACAGGAGTAAGATCTCATCCCTTAGATCAAAAGAATGTTTTGAAAATTTCCTCTATGGCAGGAAATACTAGCTCTTAATAAAAGGCTACCACCAAGGCAGTATTCTAAATTTATATTTGTATTTATCATTGTTGCTCTGAACTTCAAACTATGCAAAAACTCTCAATAGTCTTACAAAATATTAATCTAAACTACAAGAAAAAACAAACCAGCAATATCTACTTAGTCACTTTCATAAAAAATGAAAGTTAAAAGGGTACCATAAATCAGTTCCCTCTGTACCTTTATGAAAAATCACCGATGAAGAATTTAAGATATGCAGCAAATATTTCCAAAGTCAACATCAACAAACAGAATTGACAAATGACAAATTTATCTTATTCAAATACAGCTTTCACTTGTAAACCATGTTATTCTCATTTTCATCTTAATTCCACATCTTTTCAATTAAGATGCAAGAAAAGGGAAGTGTATCCAAATAAGAGAGAAAATGAAGCTTTTTTTTCCATTACTTTTCTGCTTAGAGTAAAAGGCTTCAGCTCAGATAACCACAAACATGTACTTGGCATATTTGGGTTGAAGAGCATAAGAACAAGTAGAACAGTGAATATATGCTGCAGGTAGCTGTAATGCACTGAACAGTGACTGTAAAATTATCACTCAGAAATAAAGTCAGGAGATATTACTATAGAACAGGGTTATAAGAAAATGTTAAAGTCTATGTATTCACAAAATGCAGCTGTTAGCACTCCTTTGTTATAATTGTTTCCTGCAATTTTTTAGTGGTGAACTGTTACCTGTGTGGATTTAAGAAGAAATACATGATAGTATCACATTGTGTTATTTTTTGTGGGATCCCCTGTATCACCTTGGGATTAAGAATCCAACTCTCACTGAAGCTAGTGTGAAGAGTTATATGGAAATAATGAATTATCTGTTACTACTGAAAATCACTGTAATATTAGCAGTTATGCAAGTAAATGACAACTGAAGTACTGACAATCTAAAGTTGGGCAATAATTCTTAGAAGACCCAACAGAAACCAAATATTCTCTAATACTGGAAACACAAAATCTGGTAAACAGTTCCACTGCTGCCACTATCATATTTTTCTTTTTTTCTAGGAAGAGATTAAACTGTTAAGAAACAAAAGAGTAATAAATATTTTGCTTTACATTAGCTAATGCAGAATGAGATCATTCAATGGAATCTTAAGATCTTTAAGAGCCCATAAGAGCTGGAAACATTTAAAAAAATTGGTATTCCAAAAAAGGATTTCTTAATCAATACAGTGCAGACAAAAATAATACCCAATAGCACTTACACCACTTCACACACCACTTTATAACATAGGAAAGAATCAAGCAAAACCAACTAAAGGACATGGAAATACTCTTATAAGCAGTTGTATTTTCCATATCAAACATCCCATGTAGTTTTTATAGCTATTTTCAAGAAGAAAAATGACAACATATAATAATAAACATTAAAATAAACTCTCAAAACCTCAGAAATTGCAGCATGAGTTCAGATGACAGAACCGGTTCTGCTGTGAGGAGAAACAATTGCAGTCAAAAGTTTAAGGCAATTAGTGGCCAAAAGTAAGATTAACTAATATGTTTCACTCCAGATTTACTACAGTAGAAAAGAATGTAAGTTTTGACAGAGGCAAATAACATTCAGCTCAGAGTCAGTATAGTCATATTTTTATTATATGCCTTTCTAAATGTTGCAGAGCACATTTATAACATTTTTATTACACAAAAATGAATGTTGTGTAAAATACTAATGAGCAAGTTGACAGAAGACTGACTTCAATGTTCACTCAGATTTTATGAATTTTTGTACAAAAAGCCCACATGAAATGTTTATTTTCTTCTCTCTGAGTCTCTCATAATTAGTTTGATTTTGATTTTTTTATTTTTTTTTTGGTGGTTGAGGAAAGGAGTCAGCCAGCAGCCAGTTGGTGATTTCAAGGCTAAATTAATATTTTCCTGTTTCATGATGTTATCCATACATGCAAGGTCTGTCAGAACAGACACACATAAATACTATGTTTATTCCATATCCTATCTGAATTGGTTCTTCCAAATTTATTTAAATGTAATTATTATTTTGAAAATACACATAGCCATAATGAGTTTTGTTATGACATCTATTTTCCACTTTTCCATCTTCAGAAAAAATAAGTTGGACCTCCAATTGAAACTGATAGACTATGATCAAAAACACTGTGAGGTTTGTTCAAGTAAAACTTAATTGCACTTCTGGAGATGGGACACTGTTGTCTTCTACTAAATATCCTCACTAAAATTAATTTTAGGGAAGAACAGGTCACACATAAAAGCCTTTCAGTGTTATGTGAAATGGTGTAATGTGATGGCATGCTAATTAGACTCTGAAATGTTTCAAAAATGTTAGAATAGCTATGTTTATTCAAGAAAAAGAAGCAGGCAAATTCTTGACAGTGCCTTCTAGAACTTAAAATCCGTAGGCATTGGACTTACCTGCTTTCTCGTTTCTCCGACTTGTATTCTATGGCTATCATTAAGAGCTTTAGTTTCGCAAACACCAGTCTGCAGGAAGAGAAGAGGCCAAGAGTCAGTCCTTCACAACCAACATCACGTACACAGAGATGGCTGCATTGTATGTATTTTCTTTAAGAAATAACATTAAGATAATCTCCATATTTTTCATTTAGGTATATACAAAACTTGTATTAAGGTTTTTCTATTTCAATGATAATTTAATGATAATTAATGATTTAATTATAATTAATCATAATTTAATCTATTTCAGTGACATTTTCCTAAAGAAACAGACTGACAAATTGAGAACAGCAGCACAAGCACCAATACTATGTTACTAAGTCTACTTAAGCAATAATAAAAAGGTTAAAATACACAACATAAAATTTAATTTGGCTGTAGCTGTGGGTGTTTTGAGCAAATTTTTCAAATCTGCCGGAATGTTGATTGTAGTGTGCGTTCCTGAGAAAATATGTATAGGAGAGTATACTATTAATGAGTCCATATTTGCCAACTATTGTCATATAGGAACAGCGTGGCTGGAAGCAATTTCTAAACAATATATGGGACCTAAATTCTGATACACATTTTTTCAGTTGTGAATGTCTCTACAAGTGCCTATTTATTAGAAAAATTCAAGGGTCATATTCATAGACTTGCAGAACTGTTAGCACACTACCATTTGCTTACAGCTAGTAGGCCCTCTGATAATAAACAAAGAAACCAAGCTTTTTTTAAAAAAATAAAATAACTAGAAAACATTTTCTAATTTTGTCACTGAACTGCATGAAAATTCAATGCTACTTGCTTCCTGTTCTGTACATTTGTCACAAGCTATGCCAGGAGTCACTTTTCAATTAGGGATGTCTGTCATCTTCCGTATCATGTGCTAACCTTTCCAGTGGTCAGTGCTTCTGCACAAATTTCCTTACTTTAGTGTTATTAGAATTTTTGCACATATTTTTGAGAATGTTTATGTTCTTCAGGCAAATCTAACCAACATTCTCTATACTTTGCATCAGTCACATACTTACAGAAAACAAGGAATCAGCTGCTAAACTGATAATATTTCTTTTCTGTAGTAAGCTCCAGAAATCACTGTGAACAGTTAATTTGTGCTATTTCTTCAGGATAAGAGAATAATTACATATGAGCATGGATGCATGAGAATGCTGCAGCAATGTGCCACATATCACATAAGGATATGTGCAATACAATTACTTTGCAGTGTTCAACTTTTGCAATGTAATACTTGAATATATTTTTATCTTAAAATTATCCTTTCAAAGGATTGTAGAAGAATCTGTGTAGTCTCCTTGTTTGGGGAAGCAGGTGATGTCTCATTATTGGGAAGTAACACAGAAAGATAGATAGAATCACAGAATAATAGAATCATTAAAGTTGAAAGGGACCTTAAAGATCACCAAGTTCCAACCCCCCTGCCATGAGCAGGGAACCCTACCACTAGACCAGGCTGCACAAAACCTCATCCAACCTGGCCTTAAAAACCTCCAGGGATGGGGCATCAACAACCTCCCTGGGTAACCCATTCCAGTTCCTCACCACCTTTCTAGTGAATAATTTCTTCCTAATATCTAACCTAAATCTCCCCTAACCATTACCCCTTGTCCTACCACTGTCTTCTCTGATGAAAAGCCCCTCCCCAGCTTTCCTGTAGGCCCCTTTCAAGTACTGGAAGGCTGCTATAAGGTCTCCCTGAAGCCTTCTCTTCTCTAGGATGAACAGCCTGTCTTCACAGCAGGGGCACTCCAGGCCTTTGATCATCTTCATGGACCTTCTCTAGACCCGCTCCAACAGGTCTAAACCTTTCCTGTGCTGAGGGCTCCAGAGCTGTACACAATATTCCAGGTGGGGTCTCACAAGAGCAGAGTAGAAGGGCAGAATCCCCTCACTGGCCCTGCTGGCCACTCTTCATGCAGCCCAGGATGCAGTTACTCTCTGGGCTCCAGCACACACTGGTGACTCATGTCAAGCTTCTCATCAACTACCACCCCCAAGTCCTTCTCCTCAGCACTGCTCTCCAGCCATTCTTCCCTCAGCCTGTATTTATGTCTGGGTTTGCCCTGACCCAAGTGCAGGACCCTGCACTTGGTCTTGTTGAACTTCATGAGGTTGGCACTGGACCACCTTTCCAGCCTGTCACGATCGCTCTGGATGACCTCCCTTCCCTCTGGGTGTCAACCACACCACACAGCTTGGTATCATCAGCAAACTTGCTGAGGATACGCTCAATCCCACTGTCCACGTCTCCAACAAAGATGACAAACAGCAGTGGTCCCAATACTGACTCCTGAGGGACACCACTCTATAGATAGGGGGAAAAATTAGTTTAACTTTTTTTCAAAGTCAATTAAGAGTCTTATTCTATTCCAAGAACTCCAGCCAATATCTGAAATGGGCAGACAAAACCATGATTGCTACTGAATTCTTGATTGAGGGGGAGAAAGGCTGAAAACGGGAAAAGTAGTGGGGAAAGTAGGGGCGAAAGAGTAGGGGGGAAGGTGTAGGGGGAGAGAGAAGGGAGGGAAAGAAGAGGGGGAAAGAAAGGGGGAAAAGAACTCTACTAGGATAATGTGGAATTCATAGTAGCAGGAAAAGTAGACATGCAGAGCGAGTACAGAATACCAAGTATACATTTTACTACAAAGGCATCTAGAGAATATGGGTGGGTCTTGATAAAGATCAGGCTCTTTTCTAATGGGTTCATAAGTCACTATATAAAGACTGTAATAGAGTGTGTAAACTGACTTGTGTCACTCATGATAATATGACATACATCACTCATAATGACATACATTACTCTCTCTATATACACAAATATACACACAGAAGTACTTCATACAAATTAATGACTAGTACCAGTTCCAGTCAGTGGCTGCTGATAAAACCAAGAGCAGATGAGCAAATAAATTTGCTGCTCACAGCAGTGGATACCATTACCATTATTAGGGATGGTAGTGAGGACATGAGCTGAGTATTTTAAGTTTTTGGTTTCTGACCTGTAAGTCTGTTATGAAAACACTGAATGTAATAAACGTCAATACAGAACACTACATTGATTTTTCTCTGTATTTTCCACATCAAATGTTATCTTGGTTTGCAAGATGGTTCCTAACTTGAAATGCAATGAAGTGCTGCGAAATGTTGTGGAAGATATCCTACTCCAATCCACACAAATATTTGTTTCTCATTACTTTTGTGTGCTCTTGTACTGCTAAAATCCTTATAATTCCACTGTTCTTTCTGGCACCCATTCATAGCTGATATGTTGGAATAAGATCTAAGTAAGGATATTACTCCTCTAAGAGCTCTCCGGAAGGTTTTAAGCACAAAGAAGCTATGCTTGCTTTATGAAAGTGGGTATTGTTAAATTTCTAGGCACAAACTAGAAACATGGTTGCCACATATACAGAGTTTTGAATTAATGAGCCAAAATTTGACCACTAATTACTGATCTACTAATTACTGCTTGCACCAAGTGTAGTAAAATTCAGGTTATCCAAAACCATGGAGTAAGTATTGGTAACATATGCCTACATATTTTAAAAGTATTAAAGAAGAACTGTTGGGAGTGTAAGGCCTCTGTGCTGATACATGGCTATTCAAAGCAGCCTTTTCATACTTCCAAAAAGATTGCTGTCCACTGAGATGTAATGAGGCAGTACAGTGGGACCTTACAAAATCTGTTTTCATGGGTTGGCTCTTGCTGTCTCACAGGTGTGCCTGAGGAGACTATTTAGCACATCTTCATTGGCTGGGTGGAGGCAGTGTGGGTAGCCTACCTTTTGCTGGGGGGACCCAGAGAACAGTTTCTGAGAGCACTTGGAGGCAAGTGTAAAATAAAGGAGAAATCTCTGACAGAATAAGACAGGGTCTGATTTTAATCACCGTCAGAAGATGGAAAGCTTAATTTAGACATTGTTAGTCTAGAGACTGTATTGTGGCTTGGCAGCCACCTCAGCTGACCTTAGCTTTGACACACATCTGCAATGTTGAATGAAATTCGGGGTTGGAGTCACTCCCTGACTACAGAGTGGTGCTAATTCTATGACTGTATCAATAAGATAAATAATCTGTTGTGGAGCTGAGAGAGAACACACAGAGAAGTGCTAAGTATCACCTGCTCACCTGACTTAGTTCTCCTTTGTCAGGACAGTGACTTTTGTGATTAGCTCACTAAAGGGTCTGTTATGAAATATTCAAAAAACTGACTGATGTGGGAATATAAGCCATTGCTATAAACCACTCAACAATACACTGCACAAGTACAGATATAATGATATTTCTCTGATTTTGCATTTTATTTAAACATGGTGATGACATTTGATTGAATGACTTAAAAAACAGAACCAACAACAAATGTGCCAAATATAAGATATATTAAGAGAAGTGGACAGCTTTTATATGTTCTTTCCACTTCTAGGTCAAGTGTGAATCCATATATGTGCTAACCTCAGCAGAAAAAATGTTGGGTGGAGAATGGTGGGCCTAGAATGTGGATGAAAGTTAGCTTTGCATTAGTAAATATTGGAAGGCCCACTAGAAGATTCTGTGCTAGTGTGGGACAGTTTGGTTAGTTTACTCTTCAATTAGCATCATCCACACTGGATTCAACAATATCCAAGGGCACAGAATGGAATACATTCATGTACTGAAAATAGATTGGTGGGAATATGTTCACACAGAAGACACACATATACTCAGAGTTATCCTGCATCAATACAAACTGATATTAACTTCTATTTCCATCTAATTCTTCACCCTGGTGTTGACATCAAAAGCTTGAAATTCTTCACCTATATCAAGTGTCCCAGTCCCACTGAAAGAGATGTTTCCATACCCACTTTGTTATCCAAACTGTATGGCAGCCTGTTTACTAAAGAATCACATCCTTAGACCAGCAAGCAAGATCTCATTTAGTACCACGGTTTTAAAATGTCATTGACCACATGAATTTTAAAAGCTACAAAAACTGTTCTCAAAGTCTGTATCTTTTGTGGATAGTTGAGCACACTAAGCTTGTCCACTGGTTTTATTTCCTCTTCACAAACCAATGCAACAAATTTCTTAGTGTCTTTCAGTTTTTCTGGAAATTGAACAGCCAATTCTTAAGGTAATGAAAATACCTACTCATTAATATGCAACACTCTATTTTAATTTTCAATGTGCTTTAATTAATTTTAATTGAATAGAGTTATTAAATTGTTGGAAAAACTGAGACAAATAATTTTATTTAATTTAAACTAGGAAACACAGTTAATTAAGCCTCTAGATAATCAAATGCTTGAGGAGAGCTCCAAAGTTTAGACATGTCTCTAAATCTCAATAAATGCTCTTTCTTTAATATTTTATCTTAAGTCCACCAGCACAGTTAAATGAACGTCAGCTTTAAGTCAAATACAGTCTCAGTCACATGTCTCTAAGAACTCATATAAAAACCCAACCATGTTTGACAACAGTTTGGCGTGGAGATTGTTTTCATGATTGTAGTTAGTGTAAACACACCATAAATTACCATTCATATTGAATATAATAGACATTTCTAGTAGATATTAGGAGGCTTTCTATTTCAAGATATCCAAAGTTTTTTACTTATAAGTAATACATATTTTCTCTCAGTAACTTAGTCACAGTCTAATCAACACAGTGGAAGAATGGACTGCAAGCCACTTCATTTTACTAGCAAATTGAAGACTGGGCCCTGTCAGCTACATGTCAGAATAACACAGATTTTTAATTGGCTAATATTTGTCTAAGAGTTGTTTCTCCCTCATTCTTATGCCATAACTTACATTTATCAGAAAAGATGGAGGAAGTCAGAGGAGTTAAAGCAAAATAATTCTCCTTTACGTAAGAGATTACATCTCTTTCTCTATTTCCTCCTCTAAGGATGGAGTCTGCAGAAGTTTTGCTATGTTATCTAGTTAGACATCAACCTCTTCAGAGAACGTGCTGTTTCTTTATAAGCATTTAAACAGTGTCTAGCAAAAGCTGTACACAGTCTTGTGACCTTTTGATACAGCTCTAACGAAGAACAATGTCAACAGAAGAGGAAATATGACTGCACTATCCTATGTTTGTGGCCATGGGTGTAAATTGGAGCATAGGAGGTTCAAGGTGAATATCCAAAAAAATTTTTTTACTGTAAGAGTGACAGAGCACTGGAACAGACTGCCCAGGGAGGTTGTGGAGTCTCCCTCACTGGAGACATTCAAAACCCACCTGGATGAGTTCCTGTGTGATGTACTCTAGGTGACCCTGCTCTGGCAGGGGGGTTGGACTAGATGATCTCTCGAGGTCCCTTCCAGCCCCTAAGATTCTATGACTCTATGATAGTATTTAAGGTAGAAACCTCATGCACATAAATCTCTCATTCACATAATCATTCTAAGACAAATATAAGGATTTTCAGTCTCTAGAAATAAAGTTGTAGAATGGCTTATGCTATGGTTATATGCTATATGCTTCAAATACTCATTTCTCATTACAGAACTTTTTTTAAATGTCATGTTTCACTTGTTAAAAAGTGATTTGCAACCAGTTCCACAGAGCTCTGCATGCCACAGTGCTTATATGACTACATCTGTTTTAATGAATAAATATTTTCCTTTGAATGTGACATAAACCAAGACTGACACTGACAACCACTATTCAAAGAAAATAAAGCATTAGAAGAAACAACAGGACAGTACTTAGAAGTAAATAACCAAATTTAAATTGATTGCTGATTAATTTGTTCAACACTGAGAACATTTATGCTTTCATTTATAATTACTTAATTCCAAATCTCTTCTGAAATCAGGCATTACAATGCTTGGAATACTTCCATGCAGTGATTGCTTAAATATTTACTTTATTGGATCCCATCTGAAGTAGCAGCATCAGGATTGTAGCAGAGTGAAAAGGTTTCCTGCAGAAACCTTAGATTACACTTGAGAGAAGGCAAATGCTTATATAATTAATATGTGTTTCTACTTACTCACAAACTGCAGGGAAGGACAAACCCACAAAGGCACTAGACAGATATTCTGTATACATTTCATTTGCAACTCCTTCGAGATAATATTTCTGCCATGTATCCTCCTCAATCTAAAACACAGAAATACAGATGCAAAGTTCTGAGTATAAAAAAAGAAAAACACCCAAAAAAGCCTTATTTAAATTTACAAACAATTGTTTAATCAGATTTTAACAAATAATCTAACAAGTTTTTATGACAATTAATATTCCAAGGAAATATGAGAAGCATATTTTGAAACAATTTCTTCAAGAGTCATCAGTACTTCAGGACAACTGAAGAAAATCTTTACTGCTAAATTCAGAGATGTGCACTTCTGCCCTTGAGTCTGTCTCTGTGTTTCTCTTCTCTACTATATCATTACCTAACATCATCCACAATACCAACAAAACTGTTTCTCTAGACTAATGTCCTGTATATCTTGCTTTCTATTACCCTCTTAACTCTTTTATGAAATAAAAATGTTAGGCTGCGTAACTGCCATGTACTAGAGGATGAATAGTCACCCACTGACAGTGCTTTCCCAGACAGCTATTTATCTTACTTCCACATCAGCATCTTTCAAAATCCTTTTTCAAGGTACATATCATAGTAATCTTCTTTGCCTGCATCAACTTAGTCATTGATTCTATGCTTAAATCATACAGACCTCTTGTCTTCCACTAATCAGGATAATCTGTGAAAAAATGCCTAAATCAGGTTAGAAGAAACTACTTTTAAGAGACAGAAAGACCAATTCCATGTCAAACTAGCATTTCACAGATAGTCGGAATCAAAAACAGTGAGGCATACAGTACCATTGTACATATGAAGCTCAGTGAGCAAAACCAGTACTATATTATTACCAGGAAATAAAGCAACAGCCACACTAAAAGGCATCAGAAAGGGAATTAATTACATCTAAGCCTCTACGGTTGCAGAAGCACATGGCAGGAGGGCGGTGTTCTAGCAGCATATATAAGAGCTACAACTCCGCCAATTCGTTAACATAAAGAGGCATTTTCATACCTCGTCCACACATGGCTTGTATTGAAATGTTATAATCATCATCATAATGCTGAGCTTTTCAAACACTTTTGCAACTTAAAAGCACTTCTCCTCTGTAATAGGCTGATCCACAGCTCATTTAAACTACTCGAACCTTCTCTACTAATTCTAACATGCTTAGGTTCATTGTCTGAACAGCACAAAGCAGAAAGAAACAAGTGTGATTTGACATAATGATTCAAGTTTGAAAAAATCAAGAAAAAAAAATTTCAAACAACATCATCATTATGTTATAATAATGTGCTATTAAATAAATGTATTATATTGTTAATAAATGACTTATTATTACTATTATGTTTATATTATACAATACCATTATATAGTATACTATTACTTTCACAGGACGTTGGTGACATCTCTCTTGGACAAACAATTTTTGCAACACTGACAAAATCTGAATCCCACAGTTATCTTCACAGGACTTGTGTAGTATTTTATATGTTTGCATTTTCATCCTGCAGTGTGAGTACTAATTTGGATTCACCAATCTTTTCCCCATGTTAAACCAGTCAAAAAGCACTCTTTCAAATGAATGTTCTAAATAACAGAAGGATTGGAAACTTTTTTAAGAAACTGGTCAAATATAAATTACAATTAATTTATTTCCTTTACATTTTCTCTCCTGATGATAGGTTGCCAAGTAACCAGCTACTTTAGATCTGAAGAAGTAAACAACTGCAAGAATAAATTGTAATATGGAGATGTTCCAAATCATACAGTCCTGGACAAGTGGGCTGCAAACAATCAAAAGAAATTTCTTCCATATAAGTTGTTTCACCATTCAGAGACCAAGTGGGATGCTAAAAGGGATTTGCATTGCGTTATTCTCCACCACACACAGAGAAGTCATATAACATTTTTTTATAACTTTTTATTTATGTGAAACTTGCAAATGTTGATGATCAGCAACTCTTTATATATAGAAAATAGATAAAGTGCAGGCTTGGTAAGTAAAATAAGTAATGATTGCAAGGACATGATTGTAACATATGGCCTATTTTGTGCATTTTTCTTAGATTGGCACCACCTGGGTTGGAAAAAAAAATATAAATACATTACGTGACTCTCATTTCTACTTTCTTCCCTTGTGTTCATTACCCTTAGGCAGATGGTTTTGCTTCGGAGGAAGGAACTGCAGATCAGACCTACAGTTAAGTGCTCACTCTTAGTCAAAGATCAAGAAAGAACAGAAGAAACCTCTTTCTCATTCACAAAGCAGTGAAAAAGCTACATAGATACTGGTTAGTGTTAAATTAACCTTCATGAAGTGATTGGATTGTTTAAAATACATTCTGCTAGGATAGTATGAAATGCTGATTAATTAATTTAAAAAAAACTGCCGATATTTAGGATGCTGAAAAATGTTATTTTAAGATATGGACTAAGATGATCTTTGCAATTTCTTTCCCCCTGAACCATGATGTTATTTCCCTGTGATTTCAAAAAGAGAGGTGATCACCTGCCTGGTATTTTTTGGAAGGCAGTACTTGCTAGTTTGCTACAAATTAAACAATTATTAAAAACCTTCAGTGTTTGATATTGCCTTCCTAATTCCCTGAGTCTTGCAGTTTGAGTTTTAATAGAGGCAGGTTTCTCCCACAATCCATTTCAGTAAGACACTAATTTAAAAATCCTTAAAGTGAGAAAAAATACTTATGAAACAGTGGTTACTTGACTATTTTAAGCCTTTGCGATGATATTTTACATCTGCTGCTGCAGTTAACCTCAAAAACTGAATATCCCAACAAATCTGATTCTTCATAATGTTTGTTTATTTTCCTTTAAAATACTTAACCACAACATGAGCGATTGTTGTCCTTTCCATCTCAGAACTTACTGATACTCATCTGCTACTTACCCATACTTATCTATACATTTAGTTGCCAAAATTTAATGGTTAATATAAAGAGGAAAAAACTGTCTAAATGTATTTATGAAATACATGCTTCACATGTCAGTTGGCTGAAAATAATGGGCAATAGTTAAATGTTACATGAACTTTATAGAAGCATGAAGAAATTAATTTGGGGTTAGTTTGATTCAAGATGCTACTAATCAAGGTTACCAAAAATGTAATTCAGTAAAACAATGAAAATAATTTATCTGGTTATTGAAATATATGCCTTGATTAAAGCCTAGCTGAAAATATTGCTGTGCTTACAAAGACAAAAATAACTTTTGTTTTAACTTGAAAAATAAAGAAAAACCTAATGCAGTTTCAGTTTTAGAGTTATAAAGATAATTCTGTTACTGCAAATAATTACTGCCTATCCTATTTTAGTTCCTGACAGTAGAATCTGATACTTGTATTTTCTACCTTTGCACAGTATGGACTAATACAGTTGAGACAAAAAGAATAGACTTAGTTTCAGTGAAAAGTTTTCAATGGTAAAGTTTAACTTGTTGGCTGAACAAGCACATTTCAGCAGAAAATATAAATCTATTAAGTACTGTGGGTTCCAGGAAGCTAAATGGCTTGTTTAATTCTGATATCAGAGAGTGACACCAGGCTTTACCTACTGTTCATCGTTACCTCTGTGGATAACTGACAATCAGAGAAGTTAGGAATTTAGATCATAGAATCACAGAGTGTTTGTGTTGAAACAGACTTTCAAAAACCATCTAGTTCTGACCCTCCTGCCATAGGCAAGGACACCTTCCACTAGACCAGGTTGCTCAAAGTCCCCTCCAATCTGTCTTTGAACACTTCCAGGGATGGGGCATGCCATCTTCAGAAAAATCTTTTTTATTTACTGGAAAATACTGTATTGGTGAAAAAAGATTATCAATAATTAAACAGTGAAATACTGCTTTGGGATGAGGGATTGTCTCTTTGTTGGCAGAGTAATTAAAGCAGAAGCTAATGCCTCCCAATATTTAGAAAATAATAAAATGTCACATAAAAGCTGCAGTGAGGAACAACACAAGAACATCAGAAGGCATGACATACAAAAACACAGTAAGAGCGAACCACTTTACTGTGGGGAAAAAACCAACAACAATAAAACCCAACTATATTATTGGCTCCTGTTATAGTTTATTCTACCTTTTACCTCTTCTCATTTCTTGTATGTTATTTCCATTTCATTTAGCCTCATACATACACATCCACAGATCTCATGTAAAGTGTAACTGTTGAATGAAGACACAAAAATTGATCAAGAACAATTCTTTTCCTTTTTTTTAATTTGGACCTCCTTTACTCATCAAATATTATACATGTCAAGCACACACCAAGAACCAACAAAAGGCACTTCTACATGCCTTTCCTTAGAGAAAATGAGCATTGATATTTATAAAAAACTTCTCCTGCATGAACCTAAGGCTTTGCAGGTCGTTGTGTTATTTTTATCCCTTAAGTTAAATAACTAACATACTTGAAGCTGATACTGCAGCCATATGAGTAAATGTAAGATCCTAGAAAGACAACAAAACAGTACAATTAGTGGTTGATGGGGTAACAAGGAGTCTTTTACTACCTTCTACTGGTGACCACACTATAAATTATTAAGTGCATAGAATTTTCTTTTGAGTTTAATGTTAAATCAGAGCCAAATGTTATCACAGGATGTTGTTTTGGTACAAACAGTAAGAAGTAATATTTTTTCTTCAGAGATGTTAAAAATGCAAGAGGAAATTTTAATAAATAGCAACAAAATTCAAGTGATTCCAATGACAGGCACGGGAAAAGGTAAAGAGAGTTTAGGCAACCATTGGACCTCACACAGAATGTGCCATACCACCACAGTGACTTAAATCTGTGTGGCCCAAGTTCCCCTCTAGTAGTATAAGCAAGTGATTATCTTCCCCTGAATATGTTACGTTGCATTTCTGTCTCCTGGAAATTCATACAACAAATTACCCACTGATTCAATAGCCTAGATGAAGAATAGCTGGAAAATAACAGTGTATCCCAAGAGAAGAAATCTAATTTTAATCTCTAAGTTGCAATGTTCCTCTGCTCTCTTCTATCTGTATATAGACACATGTTGTTATCAGTAAATAAACTTACATAATACTGTCA